ATGGACTTGGCCAAGGTCCCACAGGAAGTACATGGCAAAGCTGAGCACTGAATCCAGTTCTCCCAAGTCCTAGGCTAGCACCTAGCCAATAACTAGGGTCTTGTCTGGATTAAGGTAGGGTGTGAATTTAAAGAAGAATACATGGCCGCTCTCATTCCAGAATATGTATTCCTTTTTCCAAATTAGCTTAATCCACTTTGGAAGTGGGTTGAACCGGAAAGCACACCTGGAGTTATTCCAAAGTAAGTAATTCTTCTTTAAATTCACACCCTATCTTAATTCAGAGTAACTCTCTTGTGTAGATGAGCCCAAACAAGGTCCAGACAGCAATCCCAGGGATCCGAGGACAGATGGAGGAGTAAAACATAGAGAGTGAAGCTGAGGCATGGAGCTGTCAGCAAAATTTACACCAAGCTGAATCCTACAGCTCAATAGAAGCCCGGCTTTTATCGAGATGGTTTATGTTTAACTAGACAATATATGAGCCCTGTTCCCTTAACTAATTTTCCTGGTGCCGTAACTGACAAAGCATTAATCGTCCCCGCCATTATTTATTTATTTTCTCCGGCCATGCTGTGACAGGACACCTTATTTTCTTTGTCAAATGCCATTAGCCTCGGCACAGGCATACAGGCTGCAGAAGACAGATGCTGGTAATAATCATGAAATTCTCATTATTTACCATCACTTCCATCGTGTTTCAGTTATTTATGTCCCTTGGGCACGGCCAGAGACTGTGGGTTATTCTGATAGTCAATCATAAAAATGCAATTGTTGTGAATAGTCGCTCTGTCTCTCTTCATTTCACCGGCTCACCCTCCGCTGCCCCCCAGACACATTCTGCCTTGGCCCGCATGCTCTGCCTTTGGTTTGCAGGAACGAGTGTGGTCATCATGTGGATTGGGAAGGGATAAAGTACCAGAGAAAGACAGGCCCCAGGCCAGGTTCCCCAGTGTTCTGAGCTCTACCAGCTCTCCTCTTCTTGACCCACAGCTCCCTGCTGTCCTGATCCTGGGCTCCCACATGCAGCCCTGTCAATGCACCTCTGTCCTGCTACTTCCCCGGCTGTTCCAGCCTTGGGCTCCCATGCAGCTCTGCTGATGCCGCTCAGTCCTGATCTGCAGCCAAACCTGCTATTCTAGCCCTGAATTCCCACCCACCCAGCTCTGCCGGTGCCCCTCAATCCAAGCCTACAGCCAGCTCTGCTGCTCCAGTCAGGGGACCCAGCCAGGCTGCACCATTTGGGAGCACTTCAGACTGCTCCCTGCTGGGGCTCTTTTGTGATCACTAGGATCCGACCAACAACCTGATGTTCACTGCGACCCAAAGCACAAACCCCAGGTCTCCCCCCACAAAACCCGCCAGGGTCTCCTCGGCTTTAAAGTGGAATTGAATTCAGGGATGGCTCGTCGTTGGCCTTGGAGCTTCAGCAAAGCTGATGCAGTCCTCGCAACACCCATGCACGCCATCCTGGCCAACATTCCTGGTTCCCCTACAGAGGAAGGGCAGGGGTGAGGGATTCATTTCCACGGGTCATACATAGGTTGGCCTCTCCACTGCGATGGCCAACAGATACTAACTAGGGACAACTGGTTTAGCATTGGCCCCATGGGGTACCTCCCTTGCAGGAAAGGCACTGAAACCCATTTCCATGAAGGTCTCTAGGGTGGGTTGAAATGCAGATTCTCCAGGCTGCAGGAAATTGCGACATTTCCAAATTTCCCTTTGTCCTGAATTGGAATGAAAAGTTGAAATTTTAAAATTTCCTGGGAAACAAAATTTCTGAAAAATTCTGCTTCAGGAACCTCAAAACTACCTTTTTGACATGCCTCATTTTGACTTTATCTTTTCGGCAGGGGTGCCAGAACAGAGTGGGCCAGGGGACCATGATTCCATCACTTTTTAGCAGCCATAAGGGCAAGCGACGGGGGGGCAGGGGGTGGAGAGGAGCAAGTGGGGGGTGGGGCATTGGGGGAAGGGGCAGCACATGGGGCGGGGCCAAGCTTTAGGCACCAGTGACACCACACACACTTTTAGGGAGCTTCCTCCACTACTGCGTTTTGGCCTTTTATGTTATGTTACAATTTTATATATATATATATATATATATATATATATATATATATATATATATATATATATAAATTTAAATGGTAAAGTTGAAACAAGGGGCTCCAATCATTTTTCATTGAAAAGGTTGATAAGATGGACACATACCCACAAAACCATTTGCTTCTGTCCAATCAGCATTTTTTGATGGCAAACTTTCCTGTGAAAGGTTTCGACCAGCCCTAGGGGCCACTGAGCAGTAATGCCATGGGCTGTATTTGAACCAGAGACGAGGTTGTGAGAGACATCATATCCCACAGACCTGTTCCTGCTCTCCTTTTTTTCCCTAACACACTGCTCTTTTTATAATGCCCTCCCTGGACACTGCACATGTTGCGTGTCATAAAGGGCACAGGCGCCAACTTTTGTTGGCGCCGGTGGGTGCTCACCCCCCCAACCCCACCCCCGCCCCAACTCCACCCTCCCTCCCTCCCCCATTGGACCCCTTCCCAAATCTGCACTCCAACTCCACCTCTTCCCCCTATGCGCCGCGTTCCTCCTCCTCCCGCCTCCCAGAGCTTGCTGCGCGAAACAGCTGTTTTGCGGCGCAAACGCTGGGAGGGACAGGGGAGAAGCAGGACGCGGTGTCATGCTCAGGGGAGGAGGCAGAGCGGAGCAGAGGCAGAGGTGAGCTGGGGCCGGGGGGCAGGTCAGGGAGCTGCCGGTGGGTGCAGAGCACCCACCAATTTTTCCCCCGTGGGTGCTCCAGCCCTGGAGCACCCATGGAGTCGGCACCTATGATAAACGGGCACTGAAGAGAGAAGTCTGATGCAGCTGGGAGCCAACTTTGACTTGGCTTCCATCTGAGAGAGCATATTATGGAATAAGACCTTCTCAGTGGTCTGAGCTATCGATGGGCAGATCTCACCCTAGTTTGGAAGCTCAGCCAGACCAAGTGCATGTTTCTGAGCCTCTGCACCAATGATTGCTGTTAGTCTCTAGCACTATCTGCACCCACCGGTTTGATTGCAATTAAGATGCCCGAAATATTTCCATTCACAATGAAATCAGCACTGGGAAAGGGTTGGTTCTTTTATTTGAATCCCACTTTGTAAGGGATTATTTGCAGTTATGCATGGCTTGATCATGCTAATGATATCTCCTGCCTCAGGACATAAGGGATTCACTGCGGCATTAGGAAGAATTCACCCCAGTAGCGCTGGTGGAAAATAATGCAACTGAGCATTTGCCCATCAGAAAATGCCATTTCATCAAAATTGAAACGTTCATGGAGAATTTGTCAATTTTGATGAAAATTAATTTAGAAAAAAAATCAAAACAAAGCTTTTCGATAATGTCAAAATGGGATGTTTTGACATTGAATGTTTTCCCTTTTTTAAAAATGACTATTTTGTTTTTTCTAATATAAAATAAAATAATTTCATGTTGAAATTTATTTTCTATTATAATTTTTTAACTGTTAAAAGTTGAAATAGAAACAAACTGTTTCATTTTATCTGCATGAAAAACTTTAATGGATCCAAAATGATTTTTACAATTTCATTGGCGGGAAATTTTGAAATTCAACAGTTCGTTCTGATTCCGAACAAAACCAAGTTTTAAAATCATGGTGTTTCTCATGCAACAGACATTCCAGTCCCTGTGCAGCTCTCACCCCCAGCCCCACGGCAAGCAGTGGACAATTAGCAAGATGCAAACATCACTCACTGGCCACTGCTAGAGACAGGTTTCAGAGGAACAGCCGTGTTAGTCTGTATTCGCAAAAAGAAAAGGAGTACTTGTGGCACCTTAGAGACTAACCAATTTATTTGAGCATGAGCTGTAGCTCATGAAAGCTCATGCTCAAATAAATTGGTTAGTCTCTAAGGTGCCACAAGTACTCCTTTTCTTTTTGCTAGAGACAGTGTTTCAGGGACTGAGCCAAACCCAAAGACGCCAGCTCTTTGCCATTACCTGTATTTATAATGGGAAATCGTCTGAAATAATCAGACTGGCCAAGTGGTCTTTTAGAACAGCACAAAACTTATGAATGCAAGGAACAGGTTAATCTTCCTTTTGCCACCCACTTTCCTTCTGGCCTGCTCCAAAATTTTGACCCCCAACTTCCCTAGACTGCCCACGACAGTGGTTTTCAACCTTTTTTCACTTGCAAATGCCTAAAAATTTTGAATGGAGGTACGACAGTGGTTTTCAACCTTTTTTCACTTGCAAATGCCTAAAAATTTTGAATGGAGGTACAGACCCCTTAGGAAATCTTAGATCTAGTCTGCGGAGTCCACGGACCACAGGTTGAAAACCACTGGACTACAGTACTGGCAGCCAGGTAGACAAACAGTAAAAGTGTCCACAGTGTTGCCAACTCTTGGGATTTAGTTGTGAGTCTTGTAATATTTGGTGCTTTTCTTGAAACCGCAGATCCTAGAGTCAGGGGATCATCTGAGAATCTCGGCTTTCATTTTTAAAAAAGCAAGTTTCTAGCCCTCCTGCCTGCAGAGAGACACTGGGAAACAAACAAACTCAGTACACCCCAAAGAAACCAGCAGCAACTAAAAAGACCCCCCCAACTGATGGTCTATTGAAATCTCATGATTTTTAAGCCAGTCTCATGAGTTTGTTGGGCCTGAAGCAGAGCTTTGAGGGCTCAGGGTTGGCTCACCTGCCTCACACGTGTGGCGTAATGGATGCAACACAGTGTCCGAAGGCCCAGCGAGCAGGCAGCTAGCCACATGACTGAGTCAGATCAAAGCAAGACTGGAAAGAGTTTATGAGGAATCTGTCTGTAGCCACCCCAGGCCATGGCCCGTTGGTTTGGTGCAGCATATTCTTCCAGTGTGTGTGTTTATAATGCCTGAGTGCCACCCTGCCTCCCTGCTCGCTGCGTCAGTGTGCATGCCTGTTCCGCTGGCTAACCATGTTTGGTTTGGTTTCAGAAGACAGGAAGCTCTTTGTGGGGATGCTGGGGAAGCAGCAGAGCGAAGACGATGTAAGGCGGCTGTTTGAACCCTTTGGCCAGATCGAAGAGTGCACCATCCTCAGAGGGCCCGATGGAGCCAGCAAAGGTGGGAGACCATCAGGCCCCACCTGAGAGCTGGACAAAACCACGACCCACCTCCCACTCAAACAACTGCGTGACTTGCCTTTGCCCAGGCTCGTGACCCCCTTTGTGCCGGCTCCTTTCCATTAGTGTTTGTGCGTAGGGACAGAGCGTCACCATCAGCCAGGCACAAGCCTTTGCACCAGAAGTAACATGGTTCTTGTGGGTTGGAACACAAATGTGTCTGAGATACTCCAGGCACCCTCATGGGGGCTCCTTGCTGATCACTGCCCAGATGGAGGCGCCCCCTCAGCTCCAGCCTCCTTCCCTGCCAGGCAGCGCACCCTCCTCAGCTCCAGCCTCCTCCCCTGCCAGACAGCGCGCCCCCCTCAGCTCCAGCCTCCTCCCCTGCCAGCCAGCATGCCACCCTCAGCGCCAGCCTCCTCCCCTGCCAGCCAGCGCACCCCCCTCAGCTCCAGCCTCCTTCCCTGCCAGCCAGCGCACCCCCCTCAGCTCCAGCCTCCTCCCCTGCCAGCCAGCATGCCCCCCTCAGCTCCAGCCTCCTCCCCTGCCAGCCAGAGCACCCCCCCAGCTCCAGCCTCCTTCCCGGCCAGCCAGCGCACCCCCCCAGCTCCAGCCTCCTTCCCGGCCAGCCAGCGCAGCCCCCTCAGCTCCAGCCTCCTCCCCTGCCAGCCAGCGCACCCCCCTCAGCTCCAGCCTCCTCCCCTGCCAGCCAGCGCAACCCCCTCAGCTCCAGCCTCCTCCCCTGCCAGCCAGCGCACCCCCCTCAGCTCCAGCCTCCTCCCCTGCCAGCCAGCATGCCCCCCTCAGCTCCAGCCTCCTCCCCTGCCAGCCAGAGCACCCCCCCAGCTCCAGCCTCCTTCCCGGCCAGCCAGCGCACCCCCCTCAGCTCCAGCTTCCTCCTCTGCCAGCCAGCGCAGCCCCCCTCAGCTCAAGCCTCCACTCTCCCGGCCAGCCAGCGCAGCTCCCCTCAGCTCAAGCCTCCACTCTCCCGGCCAGCCAGCGCAGCCCCCCTCAGCTCCAGCAATAGGCGCCGACTTCCCCTCTGCCCAGTGGGTGCTCGAACCCTGGCCCTGCCCCTGCCCCACCTCTTCCTGCCCCTGCCCCACCCTCACCCCATCGCCATTCCACCCCTTCCCGCTAGCCCAAAGCTGTTAAGCAATAACATTCCTTTGCATGTACACAGAACCGTCCACCTGAGGATCTCAAAGCACTTTACATACTTGGGTGACTCTGACCATCCCCACTTTGCGGATGGAATAACCGGCACAGGGACGTGCCCAAGGGGATGCAGCACATCCGTGCAGAGCTGGGGCGAGAACCCTGGACTCCCAGGGCTCTGTTCTACCCACTAGGCAATGCTGCCTCTCCTGAACGTCCTGGATGGATGCGACTATGCAGGGCAGGCAGAGTCTCCTGCCAGCATGTGTTATAGCCACGAGCACACATTCTCCTCTGCAAAGTTCCTCTTGCTGTAGCTCCCAAACTTAACACTTGTTCTTTTCTCCCCCTAGGATGTGCCTTTGTAAAATATGGGAGCCATGGGGAGGCCCAGGCAGCCATCAACAGCCTGCACGGCAGCCAGACCATGCCGGTAAGTGCTAGGGCTGGGGCAGGAGAGAGAAATAGGCTCATCTTTCTCTTCCATTGCATGGGCTAAGTAACTGGGAGCTGCACCTGGTACCACCAGAAGAGAAAGATATTGTCACAGAATAGTCCACACACTGTGTTACCCCCAGGCATCCACACTGGATTGACTGGGCTTGAACCAGGAGAACATGGCCCAGTGACTTACTGTCCATCTCTAGCTTAAACCAGTTCACTGAGGCTAAAATTCCATCCCAACTGATCAGCTCCTGAGGCTCCTCCTCAGAGCGGGTGGTTTTACACACGCACACTGGGTGTTGTAAGGAAAGTCCATTGGGTCAATGAGCTCGAATCCCCAAATGTCCTCGTCTCTGAGTGTACCTAAGAGACTCCAGGAATCATGGAGATTAGCGATCAGTGGTGCCAAATCACGGGGTGTGGTGGGGACAACCCCCCAATTTTTGCACTTGCTCCAAGTTCTATAGGAGCTGGGAGGGCCCCGGCCTGACCACTTTTAAGCAGTGGTCCCATATCCAATCAGTACCGCCAGTGCTGGAGTGGTCAGGAGCATCGCTCCACCTGCATGCTTGCAATGCCACTGAAATTTGACCCAGCTGCCCCTCCATACAGAGTGGCAGTGAGGGCTGGCTGGGCCAAACATCCTTGCAACCTGGCGCACTGGGAGTTTGTTCCTGTCCAGCAAAGCGTGGGGGGTCCACCGAGAACTTGATTCCTGGCAGCACTGGGTGGGTAAGGGAAGGGGAGATTTATGGGGGGAGGAGCAGGGACCAGAACGGGGTCCTGGCTGTGCGGGGGATGGGAATTTACCCCTCCCCAGGACACATCTGAGTTGAAGCCACTGGTAGAGATGGAAAAGGCCTGCGCGGCACCAGCTTGTCCAAACCCTTTTTGCCAATGCAGGATTGCTCCTGGGAGCACAGACTCAACATAGGCAGGTGCTATGGGGGGTTCCCCCACACCACTCTGTGAATGCCCCTCAGTCCTGAGCTCCCCCTGCTCGTCTACTCCTGTATCCCCACATCCCTACGCAGATATACAGCTTTGCCAGCAGATCTATGTCTTAATCTGCAGCACCCCCTGCTGTTCTCATCCTGGCACCCCGCCCGGCTCTGCAAGTGTCCCTCAGTCCTGTGCTTGAGCGCTCCAGCCTCTCCTTCCAGCCCTGGACCTCCCCTAAACAGACACTGTGAGCAGGGCAGTGACTTTGTGACGTGGGAACAAAGCTGCTAGGAACCAGACCGAGCCCAGCAGCCCTCACCTTTGGCCTGAGGCAGGATTTGAAACCAAGCCTTGAGAGGGGAAAGGCAATTAGAGCCGTAGCTCCGTCATGTCACTGAATTCAGAAAAAGGGTTTGCTGCTGAGCTGGGACTTTGCCCGTTCCGTGCCATTGTCGCAGCTGGCATTGGGCACATCACATTCCCTCTTCTCTTTCACCACCGCTCTCAGAAGAGGAAGCTCTCATCTCTCACTCACATCCACACCTCTTCAGCTCAGTGCCCTTGGCACTGCACTAAAATTGGCCCCTCAGTAGGCACTCAGAGGGGTAGAGAAATGGATACGCCTACTGGCCATGCTCTCTTTCCCTTCCCCACCTATGCATAGTGCTGTCTCCTTAATCCAATCACCAGCTAATCTGATCCTCCATTTAATTCGATCAAAATCTCAGGGATCAAACAGTTTCTTGTAAAAATAACACCAGGCCCGTCCTTTATTTTGATTAGCGCTGAGCTCTCTAGGCAGGTGTTAGGGGTTAATTCAATCACAGGCTAGAGAAAGTTGCCATTTAATTAACAGTGAAGGTCAACATTCTGAATGGGAGAGGAAGGAAACAGAGTCCAGGGAAAAGCAATGAGTATAAAATACGACTGCAATTAAATATTGCATTGATCAGACACTGCTATGGAAAAGCTGGGCCAAATTCTTCCCTGGCAGGACTGCACAGAAGTCAGTGGAATCATCCTGGACACGAATTAGCACTGTCACCTGCAGGGTGGCTGAGAGATGCTATCTGATGTTCTTGCGATATACAAGATCAGTCGCTCACATAAATCTGATGATGGGATCATACCACAGAGAAATGAGAGGAAATCTCCCTCTCCGCATGATCCCCCAAGCCTGACCTCAACTAAGGTGACCATATTTTCAGACTCAGACACTTTTGTGGCTCCCTGTTTTAGGGCCACAAAGTATTCCTATAAAACCCAAAAGTCCACTTGGTTTTAATGTGTGCCAGCTTTTGACTCAACAGCAACATTTTCCTGTTTCTCGGAGTGGAGGATTGTTTCTACTAACCTAGATTCTGAATGAGTTTATCATGAAATGCTGGACAAGTGTCATTAATGTTCACTCTGAGCAAAACAGCAGCTTGGAAAGTGTCTGTGATCATTCCACTTCTCCCTTCACTCCAAACACTGTTCATCACTCTGAACACTCATTCCACTGGACTCTTGGTTCCTGGTAAACACAGAGCAAATCCTACTTGGTACAACACTACAACAAGAACAGATATTTTGTAGTCCACAAATTTGGACAGGTGCAATGAAAATCTGCAACATTCCAGCTATCCTGAAAGACGTTCGAGGGACATAATATAAAAAAAATCCGGGCCTATGTAGGATGGTGAAACCAGGACATATGGCCCAGATCCACAGCTGGTGTAAATTGGCATAGCTCTGCTGACTTCAGTGGAGATCTACTGATTTACACCGGCCTACGTTCTCCCTACCTCGATCACTAACACAGAAGTTGCAGCTCGCAAGAAGGAGAGAGAGCGGTCAGGAGGGGTTAATAATGGAGAATAAAGAAACCTGCCAGGTGCCATCAGAAAGTTTGTGCTCCAGGTTCATCACCTATATTTTATCGTCCCCTCTAGGGTATACCTAGCCACCTGCTGCCAATGCTCACGTGCAGAAGTGATGCAACTGTGCTTTCTCTTTCCCCTAGGGAGCCTCCTCCAGCCTGGTGGTGAAGTTTGCAGACACAGACAAGGAAAGGACTTTAAGGCGGATGCATCAGATGGCAGGACAACTGGGAATCTTCAACCCGATGACCATCCAGTTTGGAGCCTACGGGGCATATACGCAAGCGGTAGGAGATGCTGCCTGATTAGATGGGGTGGGGGGTGAATCCTTTATCACAGATGTGGGGCACCGTACCTCACTGTCCTTCAAAGAACTGATATGGATACCTTCATGTGTACTGCAGATGCCCTAGCTCAAGTTGTGCCCATAATACATTCTTAGCAGTAGGGTGTCCAGGTATCCATAAAGGCCCAGCTATTAGACACTAAGGTCCAGTGCATGTGGGAACTGGTATGCCCACTGCTTTGGAAGAGCTGTACCACACAGTGAGACCACTGCTCATCCTTTCCAACCATGGCTAGCCCTTTCTCCCCACTGCTTTGCAGTGGGGCTCCAGGAGCAGACACACCCACTTCCCTCAAACTCATCTGGCTGGAGGCCAAAAAAGTTTAACTAGTGGCTTATTGTTAAAGAATTTCCTGTTTTTTGTGGCTACCATCTTAAGTGGCATATACAAGACTAGGTATGTGCTAGACATACCAAATTACAGCCCCCGCCCCCCTCCAATACGGAAATCATGTCCGAAATGTATTGCAATACCCACCAATCAAAATTGGCAAATTCACATTCAAGCCAAAACCAAGCCCTCAGTTTAACTCATCATGCATTGCTTTTGCAGCGCACATGCTTTTAAAGCGTCCCGCTGTTGAAAGCACCTTGCAATACACAGAAGCAGTGAGTCTCTCTCTCTCCAAAACTGCTGTGGAGTTTTATACAATTTATCATCCTGGCTTGGTAGGTCTTTGTCGACAAGAGGCCCAGGTCTGGACTAGCAGGTCACACTGTGGTGTCGGGGAAGGATACATTCACCCCGCAACTGCTGTCAGTTTCTCGCTTTCATAACCATTACACCTACTCAGTCAATGAGAGCCTTAAAGACAGTGTTGAAATGGAACGGAGCAGGACACAGTATGTCATAATGCACTTTTCATTCCAAAGGGCTAGAGGCAGGAATCACTGGGCGCGGGCGGAATTCTCTGGCCTGTGTTTTGCAGAATATCAGACCAGATGATAACGATCTGTTGAGGCCTTAATATCTGTGAATCTGTGCTTGGCAAAGCAATGCTTTGGATAATGACAATGTAGTGACTAGCAGTAAGCACTCTGCAACAGATCACACACCGCCTTAGACCTCTCTGACCCAGGGAGGGAATGCTGGCACAACGCTTTTCTGTACAAGCTCTCTTATTTCAGTCTTCAAAGCCACTAGAGATAGCTAGAAAATAGGACCTCAGTGTTCAATGTTAACTGAAGGCTGCCATGCAGCAGCAGCCTTTGGCTACCCTCAGCACTGCAGACTAGTGCAGGTATTTGGTATGAGCCCAAGTCCTGTTGTGGTGGCTGAATCCGTTTCTTCCTGGCCCAGAGGGAAGAGTGCTGCTAACAGAACTGGGCAGACCGAAAGGAAGACACACAATTCACTCACTCTCCACTGTTGCAACATTTTCTCACACACCATTAAACACCCAAAGAAACAGGCCAGGGAAGAGACAGATTCAGCCCAAAATCCCCAAATCCAAAACCTCCCTGTAGTGTGGGCCGGTTTAGAACTGGAGCTGGAGCCAGACGTCCCTGGAGAACCTATTCCTCCTTCTGGAACTCAAGAAAAATGTCAGGAACTCAGGCGCACCCCTGCTTATCATTAAACACACAACTCGGCTGTAGCAGGCCACAGTGACGAAAGTTACACAGGAGGATGTGACTGGATCCTGGGTACAGAGAAAAGCTAATTTTCAATTCCCTTCCTTCTCCCCTTCTTCCACTTCCTTTCTCTTTCCTTTTCCGTTCTTCATTTTCTTTTTGTCCTTCCACCTTTCTTTCTTTCTCTTTTTCTTCTTCTTCTTCCCTCTTTCCTTCTTTCTTTCCTTAAGATAATGCAGCAGCAGGCAGCCCTGATGGCTGCAGCACAAGGGACCTGCCTGAACCCCATGGCAGCCATCGCCGCAGCCCAAATGCAGCAGATGGCAGCCTTTAACGTCAGCGGACTAGTTGCTGCTCCTATGACCCCCTCATCAGGTATTTGTCACCCACCCTGCTCAATCTCTCTATGGTGGGTTTCCAGATCGTGTTATGGCAGCCGGATAGCACCTGTCTGGTGTAAAACATGGGGTGGATCCTCTTGAAACTAGGAAGCCTTCGTCAGGCATGCAGAGGGGACTCGCAATCTCCTTTCTTAACAAACTTTGCCCACATGATGATTTGTTTAAAGCAAACAAGCCAGCAATCACTGTTCACCTACAAGCCCCCAAATCCTCCCATATAGGCCCCTAAATCCCCCCCTCATCCTCCTAAGTGACTCAGGGCTAAAGCTCTCATTCTTTCTCCCCTGCACCCCCTTTTCTTTGGGGGTTAGGTACAAGCACACCTCCAGGGATCAGCACAGCGCCCGTCCCCAGCATAGCCACTCCCATTGGGGTGAATGGGTTCAGCCCCCTCCCACCACAGACCAATGGGCAGCCAGCATCCGAGACCATTTACACCAATGGAATCCATCCATACCCAGGTAGGTCCTGGGGAAGGAAGAGGGAGGAGCTGGGAATGTTCTGCCGCCAGCGCTCTTGCTGTTGGGCTGGCTTGTGCCTGTCTGCTGGAGGAGAGATGGGTGGTGGGGTGTGCACCATGCGGGTGCACAAGCATTCCCCCACCCTTGTGTCAGCCGCACAGGGGAGGGCCACCTCTGCAACCCTTGTGCTCACCTGAGCACGGAGATCCCTTAGGGCTAGCACCCTTGTCAAGAGTGGCAGGGAAGAATTGGGACCAGGCCCTTCTTGTCCCTCCCCACCCGCCACTGCTGTGGGGTGCAGCGGCTATGCCCAGAAGGAACTTGGTGAGTCATTGTACCCCCCTGAGTCACAGAGTTCCCTGCTAGAGCAAAGCAACACCATGCCACCCTGGACACAGCACAATGCCTGAATGGCCCCGAATGGCTCTAAAGGAGCAAAGGGAAAAGCCGAGTGAGCGCCCCTAAATTACGGCTTTCAAACAGGCTTAGGTGAGGAGCGGGGATATGCTGGATGGCTGAGTGGCAGCAATTAGTGGTGGGATACCAGCTCTTTCAGGTCCAGCTCACCAGCTGCTATCCTTCTAGGGTCAGGAAGGACCCAAAATAGTACCCACTGCGTGTCTGCTCAGAGAGCAAATGCCATGCTGCATGCTACTAACTAATGGGACACAGGGCTCAGGGGAAGGCTGCCCTGCTGGCAGGAGAGCAGTAGGTAGTTCATTTAGGGTAGGGGTCACATCCAGACCCAGGGGTCTCTGCTGGTTGATTTGCTGTGTCCTAGCATTCAGTGGCATAGAGAGGAGTGTTCACTGTCAGAGCTGGGCAGGAATTATTCAGTGACATATTCCATCAATTAGTCTAAATCAAACTTTGCAGAGACGGATTGGCTTTGGAAAAATTCCCATTTTGAAAAAAAAAATTGGGAAGAATGTTATGGAATTGTCAAAAATGTCCTATTTCAATGTTTCCTAGGTGAAAAGTTCTGGTTTTCAGGTCCAAACGACTTGTCGTTTCACAACAGATGTCAATGTACAGTTAGTTTGTATTTCAATTTAAAAGATCAACATTGAAACGGAACGGTTCAGAATGATCAAAATGGGTCATTTCGGCTAATCCCAAATTACATGTTTTTCAGATTTTCAGTTCGTGCCAGTTTTTGAGGGTTTTGACTGTTTATCCTGATTCGAGATTGAAAGTAAAGCTGAAAGCTCAAAACTTTTTGCTGAACCAGAGTACATTTTCCACCCAGCTCTGTTCACTTTGTTCTCTGCTGCAATTCACTAGAATATGGCTTCCAGATGCTAGCTGGCCTCTGATGTGAACCTGGACACTCTCCAATTTCCTAATAAAAACCTCCTTCCCTCTGAAAGGGCCTGATCCTGGAGGGCGCTAAGAACCCTCCACTCCCTTTAAAATCACTGAGAGTGGAGAGCACTTAGAGCCTCAGAAGGTCAGGCATAAATGTTTCAGAGGGAACATTTGGCATCCCCTAGTTTCTGAGTAATTAACAGTGATCAGGAGTGTGTCTGTTACTTTGTTTCTCAGTACACTACAGATTGCTTTGCTGAGTGTGGGAGGGGACGGGGACAAAAAGCCAAAAGGAAAATGATAGGGGGACAAATGATCTGCTGTATCTCTGAGTGATTCCTGCTGGCTGCTCCTGCTGCAAAACCTGTTTCTCCTCTGGTTTATCTTGCTTACTCTTTCTTCATTCTCCCTTCTCTTCTCTTCCCAGCTCAAAGTCCCACTGTGGCAGATCCCCTCCAACAAGCCTACGCAGGCATGCAGCACTATGCAGGTCTCAAACTTTGCTTTGCAATTCTCCCTCTGTCTCTGCCTTGAGCTCTTTCTCTGTTTCTTGGTTTGTTTTTGTTGTCTTGTGGCTTTTAAGTAAAATGACCATGAAAGGAACTGTATGGGGAAGGACACTGAGGGAGGAAAAGGGGACACTTAGCAAGATCTTGCAACTGCATGTTTTGGTGAACTTCTCTTCTTACTTGCAAGCATGGAAAGCAATGGATTCCCCATCACTTGGCATCTGTAAGTCAAGATGGGATCATTTTCTAAAAGACATACAACCACAGGCTGTTGGGATCAGTGCAGGAATCACTGCGTGAAACTCTCTAACCTTGATTATGTAGGGTCAGACTAGATCATCGTTTTTCAAACTGGGAGTCCTGACCCAAAAGGGGGTCACAAGACTATTGGGGGGGGGGGGTTGTGAGAGAAGTGACAGCTGCTGGCAAGGCGCCCAGCTCTGAAGGCAGCGCCACCACCAGCAGCAGCACAGAAGTAAGCGTGGCATGGTGTGGAGGGGTGTCACTTTTTGCGGGGTCATCACAACCTGAAATATTTTAAAAGGGGGTCCCAGCCAAAAAAGTTTGAGAACCCCTAGACTACATGATAGCAATGATCCTTTCTGGCTTTAAAATCTGTGCAGTAAATGTCAGGAAACTGAGAATGGGAAAAGTCTTGCAATGACCCCAGAAAAGAGTAGAGGTGAGACCTCAATCTTTCTGCTTATTCCTGAAACAGCGCCATCCCCACCAACGAAGCCAGGAAATAGCTCTGAGCTCATTTACATGGCCTTACCCCAGGTGTGCTCATTTACATGGCCTTACCCCAGGACTCTGGCTAATTTAAGGTACTAGTGGGTAGGATGAAAGTTTTAGTGCAAATAAGCCTGAGATAATTCAGCAGAGGGAGGCTCAGTCACAGCACAGATATACATTAAGGGAGTGCTAGGGAGGAAGCAGCCTCAGAGCATTAGGGAGATGTGGGGTAATGGTGGAGAACCAGTTCAATATGAGTGCTGACTGAGAGTCGGTTGGGTTGAAGATCAGGTCAGTACAGTTCTAGTAGGGAGTCTGCTGAGAGATCACTTGAAAGAAAGCAGAGGTTCTAATTATGTTTGCGAGGATTCTGGTTTTATTTGTTGTTGATGGTCTCAAAGGGTGTTTTTCCTGAAAGGTTTTTTGGGGTATGTTTTTACTTTTATCAGCTTAAATTTTGTACTAGTAGGAAATTTTTAAAAATAGATATTCATAGTTGTAGTGTGTTCAGAATATGAGGATTGTAGAAAATGGGAATCTAACAGACTGAGAAATAAAATCATAATGTAAGATCAGCATGGACTTTCATAATTTAATTAGGGATGGTCAAAAAATTTCCATTTAAATTGTTTTATGACAGAAAACTGGGGTTTTGACTGGGGTTTTTGGAATTTTTTGCAAAAAGTGTGTTTTCCACCAAAAAAAATGTTGGGTTTTTTTTTAACTGAAAAACCAAATGCCTGCAAACTGAAATATTTCAGTATGGAAATACTGCTGCAGTGCCTCATGGGAGTTGTAGTTCAGGCACCTCACGTCTCCATTTTCCTCTGTGGGCCAGGCTCCCCTCCCAGACTACATCTTCATGATGTACCATGGCCAGGGACTCCCATGATGCACCACTTCCACCAAGAGGGATGACCGTGGTGCATCATGGGCAATATAGTCTGACCAGGGAGCCTGGGATATAGGGGATAATGGGAGCCTGTGGCACTTAACTACAACTCCCATGAGACACCACAGTGGCATTTCCAAAAACAAATATTTCAGTTTGTTTTTCAGCCAAAATATTCAGATTTTGATTTTTCCATCAGAATTTTCTATGGGGGCAAAAAATCTATTTTCCTACCAGCTCTAAACTTAATAGTTCATTTTTAAGTCTGATGGGATACTGCTAGAGTCTCTCTCATACATTTGAGCAGGGATTGAGTCTGCTGGAAAGGTTTAACTGAGTTACTATTAGCAGCTGTAGAAGTAGCGTAGTAGCACCTAGAGGCTGAGATTGGAGCCCTACTGGGCACTGTATAGACGCATAGTAAGAGACAGTCACTGCCCCAAACAGCTTGCACTCTGACCAGACAAGACAGGCGAAGAAAGTATTCTTATCCCCATTTTATAGATGGGAACTGAGCACAGAAATTTAAATGACTTGCCCAAGGCCACAGAGAGAGTCTGTGGGTGGCAGAGTTGGAAAGTGGACCCAGATATCCAGAATTCCAGTCCAGTACCTGAAGCACAGAACCATCTTGCCTTTCTGCTGACTCACTGCTGCAGCTGGTTTGTTACCACACCCAGACACAAAGGAAAAAGACAGACCTCTCTAGTCAGATTGGATCTAGGGTATGGGCTGAGTAACTCCCAGGGAGGAATCCTGGGAGCTGCCAAGCTTGCCAAAATGGCTTAGATTGGCTTTTGTTTCTCTTGGAATTCTGTTTGTGAATAAAACCAAATCCTAGGAAGGGGCTATGTTCTGAATCAATACAGTGTGAGAGACCTGAGTGCAGAAAGGCGGGGAACCCAGTTCTCTCTCACACATACTTCTCAGCCCTCCAATTTAATTTAATTTTTAAAAATTTCCTCCCTATTAATGTTGATCATCACCAGTGTAATCATTTTTCACTGGGGTTTGGGATGGGGGAGAATTAATAGGTTACAGACATGTACCGGTTAAAACTGAATCCTTCCAAACCTGCTGTAGTTACATACCCCTGCAGGCTGCAAACCCGAGGTGAGACAGCATCTGGCATACCATATGCAGGTCTGGTCTCTGCTCTCTTACAATAGAAACTGAGAAGATACGCATTCAAACAAGGGAAACCAAAGTGACACAGAGATGTGAGAATTCCATCAGCAGGAAAAGAATAAAGAAACCATGTTTATTTGTTTAGCCTAAAGAAACCGTCCTTGAGGGAGGACATGATGATGCTGTATAAATACTGAGGACCATATCCTCAGCTGATGTAAATCAGTGTAACTCCAGTGATTTTTGGGAGCTGCCCTTATTTACACCTGCCTACCATCTGGCCCTGATAGAGCAATAATAAAGTGAGAGAAGGAAAATGATTATTTACATTGAAATGAAGTGATGGGTTTTATCTTAGTTATACTAGAGTAAATTGAGCTCAAAATAGGGATCAGATCCTGCAGGCCAAATTCATCCCTAGTGTTTCTCCATTTACTTCAAAGGAGTTCATAGCAGGGATGAAAATACACGAAAGTAGGCACAAGTGTTGGCTGCTTCCCAGATTCCTCCTTAAGCTCTGCTCAGCTCACACCCTTGGTCCTCGCTCACTAGAAGTCCACTCCTATGTCCCTAATATCTAGGAGGGGTAAGGACATACCTGCCTCAGCATATCCCACCCAACACTTTCCTGCAGGACCATCACCTGCTGCCAGCCTGCTACAGGGAGTCACATGGCTAGAAAATTTGCTCAATACACTGAAAAGAGACCCTTTGAATGCCTGCAACCTGTGGGTTTTGATTCCTTTTGTTGCATTATAATGAACATGTTTGGAATTACCCCTCACTCTAGACAATTCACAGGTGCTATTCAGAGCTTTCTCAGAGGCTGAAATAGTAGCTGGCCCCCTTTTCATTCTGCAGAAATAATGCTGTAGACAAAATGCTACTCATGGGTATTTCATCCAGTTAATTAAGTGTTTCTCTGCCAGTACAGAAAAATCCACATGTCCATTAAAAGCATGCTCTCTAAAACACACTGCAGCACTGAGCCAGTCTCTCTGCTCAGTTACTCCAGTGTCTGTAGCTCAGCAGAGCACCACTTGTGGGAGTGAGCGCAGAAGCTTGTCCATTGCACATATGTACTGTATCTGAAATGTGAAATACCATCAATTTCGCCCCTGTTCATTGCTGCTGTTCTGTGTTCTACAGCAGCATCTACCAGCTGGGATTGGGCCCCCGTTGTGCTAGGCGCTGTATGTATACATAGCAAGATACAGTACTGTCCCTAAGGAGCTTGCATTCTAAATAGACAAGACAGACAAAGGGTGGGAGGGGAAACAGAGGTACAGGGAAGGGAAATGACTTGTCCAAGGTCATATAGCAGGTCAGTGGCAGAGCGAGGAATGCAATCTAAATCTGCCTCCCACCAGCATTCAGCTAGATCAGGCTGCTCCCTCTATTTATGGTATTTAGCATGTACATACCACATGTCTCATCATAGGTGAACAAGTTGTGTATAGGTTCACACTCTGACATGTATGGGCCAGATTCTGATCTCTCTGAAACAGAGGTAAATCAGGAGTCAGTGGAGCTACACTGGTGTTAACCTGGTGTAAGAGCAGAGTCAGGCACCATGGGAAGTAGGAGGCATGGACATGAACTGGGGTGCCTGGAGCAATGCCAATTGACAGATGGTATAACTTCAGCAGAAGCCTCCACGGATCAGCTGATCACTGAACACAAAGAGTGCAGGACTTGGTATGCAGTGAAAATGGACAAAGCTCAGAGACTTCAGAGCTTCAATCTGGATAAATCCCCACAAGTTCTGAGACTGTGCTGCCTCCAATTGGTCGCAAGGATCTGCAGAATGGACCATAAATCTCGTGAGAACAGGATTTTACAGTAGTTTTAAAGTTCTTCCTGCTTCTCATCCAAGCAGGAATACCATCAGGACAGCTTGTTTCATTGTATTCAAATGCTTCTGCTTCCCAGCCAGACTGGACCCCAGATGGGCAAAGGCACTGGGCAAAAGTGGTTGAAAGTTAACCCATCTTTTTCATGCTCAGTTTGGTTGGAGTTGGGGGTGAGGGTGGCCTATACAAGGTTTGGTATCTGCCCTGGTGCTCAGATCAGATATGGAGATGACCACAATGATATTCAGTATAATACTGGGAGAAGAAAGGAGCAGATTGTGCAGGAAGGAATAAGAAAGTGTTCCATCCTAGTGTGGAAAGGAAGCTCCCGTCTTTCTGGAAAGAATTTGGACACCTGTGCATTGCCAGGCAGGATGTTATGGAACAGAAACAAACACCCCAGGCAGACGCTCCCAGACAGGGAAGAGGGCCTCCCAACTGACACTGCAAAGAGAGCAGGGGCTGATTGTTGTCCCTGGAAGGGCCTATAAATGGGGGAGCAAACTGCTGCGCTTCCCCTAGTGAAGAGTTGCCACGGCAGAAAGGAGTGGGTGGGGCCGGCAATGTAGTGCTGGGTTTGGGGAAGGAGGAATGGCTGGCCTGCTCCCATCTTTCTCTGGAAGGGAGGGAGGAGTCCTCAGCCATTCTGAACATCAGAAATGCTATTGTTTGATTCCAGCTCTAAGACTGAGTGGAAACCAGGTAGGGGACACCTAGCCAGTCTAACTGACCAACCTGCTACCCAGGGCCAATGATTCCTCTCGCTCTTCATTCCCTGGTCAATGTCACACTGTGAAAGGGACCTGGCAGATTAGCGGCTGTACTGATGAGGAGCAAAAAGTGTCCAGCAAATGCCACTTTCCTGGATTACGTCAAGGGGCAAAGAGCGAGCCCCAGCCGGGGTGGGTAAATGAATGCCCAGCCCAGCAGTCCCAGCTGAGCGTCACAGTCCTGAGAAATTCTGTGCACAGAAGAACTGTGTCCACATGCTAATGCAGTCAGGGCCATTCCACTGGGACACCTGGACCATTTCCTTTTTATGTACTTCTCATAGGGCTGGTCCAAACAGAGAGGGGATCAGATGGAAGCAAATTATACACTATGATCCCTGACTGAGATCAGTGGAGAATATGTCCCTATGGTGCTGGGTGGGCTCTGCACTGCTTTAGATGGGATGTAAAACCCAAGAACGATTCTCCCTGCAGTCCTCCAGGGTGTGCAGAACCCCAGTGCTCTGTGGGAGCTTTCATTCCCATGGGCACAATAGTTTCCTTTCCTTCCCAGCCATCCCGTTCCACCCCTTTTCCACATCATAAAGTGAGAACTCTTTTGTGAGCTGTCTTCTGAATGAGTCTTACACTGTGGATGTCACAGGTGTAGAACTAGGAGCCTCTGGTACAAAACAGAAGCAGCTTTCTGGGAGAGACTAGCAGCGCTACCTGAAGCTTCAGAGCTAAGCCAGGCAAAAGAAGCTGAAGGGCTCATGAAAAAGTGGCCCCTATACCTGGGTGTCTCTGAACCGTTCGCTGGGGATGCCATTTGTGCCGTCTCGGAGTGTTAGCAAAGCAAAGCAGGACAGACCACTGAGGCTTGACCCTTTTGTTTTTCTGTTGTCCAGCAGCATACCCAGCAGCCTATGCACCTATCAGCCAGGCCTTTCCCCAGCAAGCGCCCATCATTCCACAGCAGCAGAGAGAAGGTAAGGGGGGGGAGGCACACGTTCGGGAGGGGATAGGCTGAATGATGAATTCATTGATGTGGGTCTATTCGCTGGTCACTTATCCAGCTGTACAGCTATTCTGGGGTGGGGGAGCAACATCTGTTGGTCAATAAAGTAGTGTGTGTGTGGCGGGAGAAAGAGAGAGCCCATTAAAAAGGAAAGATAAGTGAATGATGTTAGACTTTGCTGCTTCAAAGACCATAGAAGGTCTCAGAACAAAAGATTTCCAGGCCAGGAGATAAATAAGCAGGCCCAGTAATTTGAAAGGAAATATCGAGGCAGATCTATTTTCCTGGGTTGAGGTAGGGCCCCTCATCTCAAAAAAGATATACTGGCATTAGAAAAGGTTCAGAAAAGGGTAACTAAAATGATTAGGGGTTTGGAACGGGTCCCATATGAGGAGAGATTAAAGAGGCAAGGACTTTTCAGCTTGGAAAAGAGGAGACTAAGGAGGGATATGATAGAGGTATATAAAATCATGAGTGGTGTGGAGAAAGTGAATAAGGAAAAGTTATTTACTTGTTCCCATAATATAAGAACTAGGGGCCACCAAATGAAATTAATGGGCAGCAGGTTTAAAACAAATAAAAGGAAGTTCTTCTTCACTCAGCACACAGTCAACCGGTGGAACTCCTTGCCTGAGGAGGTTGTGAAGGCGAGGACTATAACAGGGTTTAAAAGAGAACTGGATAAATTCATGGAAGTTAAGTCCATTAATAGCTATTAGCCAGGATGGGTAAGGAATGGTGTCCCTAGCCTCTGTTTGTCAGAGGGTGGAGATGGATGGCAGGAGAGAGATCACTAGATCATTTCCTGTTAGGTTCACTCCCTCTGGGGCACCTGGCATTGGCCACTGTCGGTAGATAGGATACTAGGCTGGATTGACCTTTGGTCTGACCCAGTATGGCCATTCTTATGTTCTTATGATTGAAGTCCATGCTACCGGAGATGCTTAACAGAAATCAGCCATATCCCAGAGGAAGAAGAATTACTGGTAGCATGTGTGTGTATATGCTAGGTGTTTTAATGTAATCCCAGAGATTGATAGTTGGATGGTGTGTAGATGAATGGAAAGGATGGATGAGAAGACAGATAAGTGATAGGTGATGTGCAAATAGAGAAATAGGGAAATTGAGACATGCCAGGAAAGGTGGGTGAAAAAAATGAAAAGAAAAAGATGAAAGGAAACATAGCTGGAGAGGTGGAGTGGGGTGATGAACAGAGTAATGGGTATATGCAGGGACCTGAATGAACTGGTGAAAGGAAGTAGCTGAATTGCCAAGTGAACATTTAGATAGATTGCTGAATGGGCAAACAGTTACATGAAAAGACCTAGAGATGTAGAGAGAAATGTGTGGGCATAGGTGGCTGGTTGGGTATGTCAGCACAGGGCTAAGCAAAGCAATGCTGGGCCATATGGGTGAATGGAGTAACAGGTAGCTGGACACATTTAGAAAGAGATGGGTGGGTGGACTGACAGAAGGATGCACTAGTAATTTACTAGAGAGATCACTCAGTGACTGAAGATGCTCATTACAATGCCAGCTCAAACACAGTACACTGCGCAAGACTGAGAAAGAGGAGGAAGGCACATGTGGCCTCTTTGCTAATGGGCGGCTGTTCTTTGTGTGTGCACGTGTGTTATCCCAGGTCCCGAAGGATGTAACCTGTTTATTTATCACCTGCCCCAGGAGTTCGGAGATGCGGAGCTCATGCAGATGTTTTTGCCTTTTGGCAATGTCATCTCTGCCAAAGTCTTTGTTGACCGTGCCACCAACCAAAGTAAATGCTTTGGTAAGTACCAGAGAACCTGCTCTCATCTTTCCCTCCAGGAGTTTTGCAGCATTGGCTCCTTTGGATAGTTGGGTCTCCTGTTGCATTTCACACAAAAGAGCATTTTGATGCATAGTGATGCTATGCTTCATTAAGGAGCCAATTAAGCCAATCGGTGGCCAGGTTTACCAGCAAATCTGAGCTATTTGGGAAACACGTGGGACATTTCTTCAATCCCACTCCAGTTACACACAAAGCAATCTGCATATGAACCTTTCTGCCTGAACTGATAGCAGAGAGACTAGACCCTGCATCCCCTCTGCAATCACATCATTATTGATATGTCCAGTCTGTTACATGAATAGGCTGGAACCATGTCTGAAAGGACTGACCACTCAAGGAACCAACAACACTTCTAGGTGGGCTTCTGAAGGAGGTGGTGCAGAATGGTACTCCATACACCAGGGTGGTATGTTAGTGCATTCCATTCGGACAGGAGCTTACCTGATTAGGGAGGCTGCTTGCACAGGTCTCACTGTGTTCCAGAGGCTGAGATGTTCCCCTTAGAAATGGATAAAAGTTGAGTTCTGCAACATGAAATGTACCCAAATACGCAGGGTTTTGTGGCAAAGTTTCAGCAAAGTGAAACTGGTGGAATGTTATGTCTGGGGCTTCCTTCCTTTCATTCATAAGAACATAAGTATGGCCATACTGGGTCAGACCAAAGGTCCATCTCACCCAGTATCCTGTCTTCTGACAGTGGCCAATGCCAGGTGCCCAAGAGGGAATGAACAGAACAGGTAATCATCAAGTGATCCATCCCCTGTCACCCATTCCCAGCTTCTGGCAAACAGAGGCTAGGGACACCCCCATCCCTGCCCATCCTGGCTATTTGCCATTGATGGACCTATCCTCCATGAATTTATCTAGTTCTTTTTTGAACCTTGTTGTAGTCTTGGCCTTCACAACATCCTCTGGCAAGGAGTTCCACAGGTTGACTGTGCATTATGTGAAAAAATACTTCCTTTTGTTTGTTTTAAACCTGCTGCCTATTAATTTCATTTGGTGACTTCTAGTTCTTGTGTTATGAGGAAGAATAAATAACACTTCCTAATTTATTTTCTCCACACCAGTCATGATTTTATAGACCTCTATCATATCCCCCCCAGTCATCTCTTTTCCAAGCTGAAAAGTCCCAGTCTTATTAATCTCTCTTTATATGGAAGCTGTTCCATACCCCTAATCATTTTTGTTGCTCTTTTCTGAACCATTTCCAATTTCAATATATATATTTTTGAGATGAGGCGACCACATCTGCACCCAGTATTCAAGATGTGGGTGTACCATGGATTTATATAGAGGAAATACAATATTTTCTGTCTTATTATCTATCCCTTTCTTAATGATTCCCAACATTCTGTTTGCTTTTTTGACTGCTGCTGCACATTGAGTGGATGTTTTCAGAGAACTATCTACAATGACTCCAAAATCTCTTTCCTGAGTGATATCAGCTAATTTGGACCCCATCATTTTATACGTATAGCTGGGATAATGTTTTCCAATGTGCATTATTTTGCATTTATCAACACTGAATTTTGTCTCCCATTTTGTTGCCCAGTCACCCAGTTTTGTGAGATCCTTTTGTAGCTCTTTGCAGACTGCTTGGGACTTAACTATCTTGAGTAGTTTTGTATCATCTGCAAATTTGCCACCTCACTGTTTACCCCTTTTTCTAAGTCATTTATGAATATGTTGAATAGGACTGGTCCCAATACAGACCCCTGGGGGACACCACTATTTACCTCTCTCCATTCTGAAAACTCACCATTTATTCCTACCCTTTGTTTCCTATCTTTTAACCAGTTACCAGTCCATGAGAGGACCTTCCCTCTTATCCCATGACAGCTTACTTTGCTTAACAGCCTTTGGTGAGGGATCTTGTCAAAGGCTTTCTGAAAATCTAAGTACACTATAATCAACTGGATCCCCCTTGTCCACATACTTGTTGACGCCCCCAAAGAATTCTAGTAGATTGGTGAGGCATGATTTCCCTTTACAAAAACCATGTTGACTCTTACCCAACAAATTATGTTAATCTATGTATCTGACTATTTTCTTCTTTACTCTAGTTTCAACCAGTTTGCCCGGTACTGAAGTCATGCTTGCTGGCCTGTAATTGCTGGGGTCACCTCTGGAGCCCTTTTTAAAAATTGGCGTCACATTAGCTATCCTCCAGTCATTTGGTACATAAGCTGATTTAAATGATACATTACAGACTACAGTTAGTAGTTCTGCAATTTCACATTTGAGTTCCTTCAGAACTCTTGGGTGAATACCATCTGGTCCTGGTGACTTACTACTGTTTAGTTTATCAGTTTGTTCCAAAACCTCCTCAAATGACACCTCAATCTGGGACAGTTCCTCAGATTTGTCACCTATAAAGAATCGCTTAGGTTTGGGAATCTCCCTCACATCCTCAGCCGTGAAGACCAATGCAAAGAATTCATTTAGTTTAACTGCAATGGCTCTATCATCCTTGAGTGCTCCTTTAGCATCTTGATCGTCCAGTGGCCCCACTGGTTGTTAGCAGGCTTCTTGCGTCTGATGTACTTAAAACAAAATTTGCTATTAGTTTTTGAGTCTTTAGCTGTTCTTCAAATTCTTTTTTGGCCTTCCTAATCATATTTTTACACTTTATTTGCCAGACTTTATGCTCCTTTCTATTTACCTCACTAGGGTTTAACTTCCACTTTATAAAGGATGCCTTTTTGTCTCTCACTGCTGCTTTTACTTTGTTGTTTAGCCACGGTGGCACTTTTTTGGTTCTCTTACTATGTTTTTTCATTTGGGGTATACGTTTAAATTGAGCCTCTATTATGGTGTCTTTAAAAAGTTTCCATGCAAATTGCTGGGATTTCACTTTTGGCACTGTACCTTTTAATTTTTGTTTAACTAACTTCCTCATTTTTTTGTAGTTCCCCTTTCTGAAATTAAATGCTACAGTGTTGGGCTGCTGCGGTGTTTTCCCTGCCAGAGGGATTTTACGCTTAATTATATTATGCTTAAGGATCCGTGTTTGTCACAGAGGTCACGGAAGCCACGGATTCTGTGACTTTCCATAACCCCCATGACTTCTGCAGCCGTCCGTGGGGCTGGCCTGGGAGCTACCTGAGCAGCTCAGGCAGCCCCTGGGCCATTCACACCAGTTGCTGCTGGGGCAGTCTTGGACCCCCACCGCCCCCCAGCAGAAGGAGTTTGGGTGGTGGGGGGCTCAGGGCTGGGGATTAGGGTGCGGGGGCGGTGCTTATGGGGGGGGCTCCTCAGAAAGGTGACAGCAACTCCCCTGCCCACAGACACCTCCCCCACAGCTCCCATTGGCCGCAGTTCCCAACCAATGGGGGGTGCTGGGGGTGCTTGGGGGGGCAGCTGCAGGGGCACTCTGGAGTGTGGGGGCTTGGGAAAGAGCGGAGGTAGCATGTGGAGCTAGGAGCTGGAGGTCACTGCTTCCAGAAGCCGGGTAGGGAAACTGCCCCAGGTCCACCAAACCTCCCCCTCCACCCCCAAGTACCCATGACACCGCCCCCCCCCAGGCCACAACCTCCCCCCGTGGCACCCCTGGGACTACCACCCCCAGCACACCCCTACCCCCCCCCCCCCAGCACCTGCAGTGCCCCTAGGGCCGCCCCCTGGAGCCACTTCCCCTCTCAAGTTTTAGTCAGGGGTATATAGTAAAAGTCATGGACAGGTCACGGGCTGTGAATTTTTGTTTTTTGCCCTTGACCTGTCCATGACTTTTACTAAAAATACCCGTGACTAAAATGTATCCTTCGTTATGGTCACGATTACCAAGCAGTCCAGCTATATTCACCTCTTGGACCAGATCCTGCGCTCCACTTAGCCCTGGTCTACACTAGGACTTTAGGTCGAATTTAGCAACGTTAAATTGATGTAAACCTGCACCCGTCCACACGATGAAGCCCTTTTTTTCGACTTAAAGGGCTCTTAAAATCGATTTCCTTACTCCACCCCTGACAAGTGGATTAGCGCTTAAATCGGCCTTGCCAGGTCGAATTTGGGGTACTGTGGACACAATTCGACGGTATTGGCCTCCGGGAGCTATCCCAGAGTGCTCTATTGTGACCGCTCTGGACAGCACTCTCAACTCAGATGCATGGCCAGGTAGACAGGAAAAGAACCGCGAACTTTTGAATCTCATTTCCGGAGACTGCGGGAACTGTGGGATAGCTCACCACAGTGCAACACTCCGGAAGTCAACGCTTGCCTCGGTACTGTGGAAGCACTCCGCCAAGTTAATGCACTTAATGCACTTAGAGCATTTTCTGTGGGGACACACACACTCGAATATATAAAACCGATTTCTAAAAAAACGATTTCTATAAATTCGACCTAATTTCGTAGTGTAGACATACCCTTAGAACTAAATCAAGAATTGCCTCTCCTCTTGTGGGTTCCAGGACTGGCTGCTCCAAGAAGCAGTGATTTAAAGCGTCGAGAAACTGTATCTCTTCATCCTGTCCTGAGGTGACATGTACCCAGTCAAATATGGGGATAGTTGAAATCCCCCATTATTATTGAGTTTTTTATTTTTATAGCCTCTCTAATCTCCTTGAGCATTTCATAATCACTATCACCATCCTGGTCAGTGGTCGGTAATATATCCCTACTGCTATATTCTTATTATTAGAGCATGGACTTACTCGCCATAGAGATTCTATGGTACAACTTGGTTCATTTAAGATTTTTACTTCATTTGACACTCTGCTTTCTTTCACATATAATGCCACTCCCCCCTGCCCCACAGCATGACCTGTTCTGTCCTTCCGATATATTTTGTACCCTGGTATTACTGTGTCCCATTGATTATCCTCATTCCACCAAATGTCTGTGATGCCTATTATATCAATCTCCTCATTTAATACGAGGCACTCTAGTTCACCCATCTTATTATTTAGACTTCTAGCATTTGTATATAAGCACTTTAAAAAATCCTCACTTTTTAT